TGCCACCACCGCCACACTCTTGCTATGGCTCTAATAGCTCTGACCCCCGGGCAACTTTATTTATTAACATACAATCAAAATCACATTTCAGTATAATTAGATTACCACCACACTACACTTCCACATCACAGTCCACCTTTGAAGGAACTCAGGGCAAGAACTCGGGGCAGGAACCTGGAGGCAGGAACTGAACCAGAGGCCATGGAGGAGCACTGTTTTCCAGCTTCCTTGCTCATGGCTGGCTCAGCCTGTTTTCTTCTACACTCCAGAACCACCATTCCAGAAGTGACACCACCCACAGTGTGCTGGGTCTTCCCACATTGATCATCAATCAAGAAAATGCACTACTGGCTTGCTCCACAGCCCAGTCTGGTGCGGGAATTTTTTCAGTTGAGGTTCACTCTTCCCAAATGACTCTAGCTATGTCAAGTTGACCCAAAACTAGGCAGCACACCACTCTCCCATCTCTAGACTTCCTGTGTATGGAGGCACCTGTCACATCTGTCCCCTCCACTGCCAGTCACGGGCCTTCTAGTTGAATCTAGATGTAAATGCTTGAGCTTTGAAGTCAGCTGCCCATGTGTAAACCTCAGCCCTGCAGACTGACCCTGGTCAGGCTTTCTAATCATGATGAGCCTGAGGCTTAACCACTGATTAACTGCCAATGAATTATGGGAGGCTTCAATAGCATGGGCCTGGTGTCTGGTGTGCATTGGTCAACATAGTACCTATTTAGTACTTGGGAAACACATCTGTACTCAACGTAGCACTGCTGTTCCCTTACACACTGCAGAAATCCCTGCTTGGTGCCTCTGCCTTACCCAATCCCACACCCACATCCATTTGATCATGCTTTAGTCCCAAGTACTTCCAAGTGCATGTCTTAAATCACACTGTCCTTTATTTGTGTTAATTTATTTACTTTTATTTTATGTGCATTGGTATTTTGCCTGCAGGAAGTCTGTGAGAATGTCAGATCTTGGAGCTACAGACAGTTGTTAGCTGCCATGTGCCATGTGCATGTGGGTTCTGGGATTTGAACCCAGGTTCTTTGGGAGAGTCCTTAACCACTGAGCCATCTTTCCAGCCCCACCCTGACCTTTCTAATTTCGGGTCTCTCTCTTGCAATAACCACCTGGTGGCCTCTCTTGTTCCCATTCTTACCCTCCAGCCCCAGGCTGGTCTCCATGGCAGATATTAGCATCATCGTTGGGCCTAAGGCACCCTGCCGTTCCCATGTCCTCTGAGCATGGTCTGGACTCCTGTCCAGTTCTCTAGCTTTGCATCCTAAGCTCTGTCCAGTGCTTCTTGCCTTCCAATGATCTGGCCACCCTCAAACATACCCTGCTCACCCTCAGGACACAGGCATCAGACCTCTCTTCACTTCTGCCAAGGACGTCTGCCCCATGTCTCCCTCACAGGGGTTTCCTCCTTTTGCTTGTCCACTGAGTCTGAGCTCAAAGGCCCTTCTCTCAGGGAGGTCTTCCCAAGCCTTTGTGTATCCCCGTCTACTGCTCACTGTTAGCCTGGCTTACTGTCTTCAGCGCACTGGCCATTATCTCACAGCAGGTTGCTCTGTTTATGGGTTTCTAGTATTCCACCCCTTGCTGAACACAGAGCAGAGCTGGAGGGGCCTCTGTCTTCTCAGCTGGCATGCTCAGTAAATGTTCATCAAGAAGCTGATCCGTTGATTGAGTATGGGTTTGTATGTGTACCCTACAGGTCAGGGTGTGTCTCTGCACATCCCACGGTCAGCCATCAATGCCACTGTCCAAGAAGACATCCTGCTGTCCGTGGACTACTCCTGCCACGGGGTGCCCACTATTGAGTGGAAGTACACCTCAAACTGGGGCGTGCAGAAGATTGTGGAGTGGAAACCCGGGACCCCAGCCAATGTCTCCCAAAGCCACAGAGACAGAGTCTGCACCTTCGACAACGGCTCCATCCAGCTTTTCAGTGTAGGCGTGAGGGATTCTGGCTACTACGTCATCACTGTCACAGAGCACCCGGGGAGCAGGCAGTTTGGCACAATCGTACTGCATGTGTCTGGTAAGAGCCCCAGGACTCCCTGAGCTGCAGGCACAGGCAGGCAACTTTGAGGTACTGAGAGACTTTGCCTTCCCCCTGTCCCTCCGCAGAGATCCGCTATGAAGACCTCCACTTTGTCGCTGTCTTCTTCGCTCTGCTCGCCGCTGTGGCTGCGGTGCTCATCAGCCTCATGTGGGTCTGCAATCGGTGTGCCTACAAATTCCAAAGGAAGAGGAGACACAAGCTCCAAGGTAATGCGCTGGGCCTTGTGATAATCCCTTCATGCTTCTGAAGCCACAGGTGGTACTTGTTACTTCATTCACTGTAAGAAACCACTGTGTGGTACGTTTTCAACCTCTTGACTCTGTGTGTGTGTGTGTGTGTGTGTGTGTGTGTGTGTGTGTGTGTGTGTGTCTCATAGGTCAATATAAGGTCTCTTCCTCATGCACACTCCACCCCTTATTTTTGAGGCAGGTTCTCTCTGACCTGGAGATCACCGAATCTGCTGTCTCCACCCATGCCCCCAGCACTGGGGTTCCAGATGTGTGCCCAGGCTTGTCCCTGGGTTCTGGGGCTCTGGACTCAGGTCCTTATGGTTGTGCATTTTAGCAACTGAGCCGTCTCCCAACCCTTTGACTTGTCGTTTGCTTGCAGAAAGCACCACTGAGGAGCTTGAAATGAAAGACGTCGAGTGTTAGCCAAGACCGTGCCCAACTACACTGCTACCTCAAGAAAAACAGTGTTTTCCAGTCGAAGAACAAAGTGAGCCGATCACTGCTGCAGCGTCTCGCCATCCTGGCCTGCACCCCTTTCCTGACGGGACAGCTGAGGTGGCAGTTCACTACAGACAGACAGCTCTAGGACTTGTGTGTAGTTCAAGGAACAGTTCAACTGAGGCTTTCTGCCAGGAGCTTTCCTTGGTTGCAGCTTCAGGGCCATGCTGATCCTTAACCAGGCAGGCATCAGTAGCTGCTTACAGCACTGGCTATGATCCTAGGCTGGCCTGATGGAGGAGTCCCTGTCTCCAGGGCCAGAGTGTCTACAGAGGGGCTGATGTGCGGCCAGCACTAGGACATGCTCTCTGTGCCTTTGTGCTCCTGTCTGGTCTGCAAACTGCTGCACCCTCCATCTCCCTGTCTTCCGTTCCATAAACACTGCTGTGGAGACAGCGTGAGCAAGCCTGAGGCCCTGAGACAGTCTGATGAGGTGGAGTGCGCTGCACCTCAGCAAGAGAAGCGGAGCGCTGAGGAAACAGAAGGTCGTGTTCTCATCCTCCCTCATACAAAATTAATCAGGTGGCCTAAACTTGGGTTTAGTGTGAGGAAAACACGGCTTATGTTGACCAGGGCAGCTGGATGGGTGGTATAACAGGAAAATCCATAATGTCAGGCTTCATTCAGCTACATCCTAGTCATCACCAACTCTCGTCTCCAGTCAGATCCAGGACTGAAGAGTGTGTGGCCTTCACCTACCTCATAGGGCATGAGGGGAAGCCAGCCTTAGCCAGGATCTCTTGGAGTGATGGAGAAAAGCATGAGAATCCTTGAAGAATCTGGAAAGCTATATGGGAAAGTGCTGTATTGAGTAGCAAAGGTTAAAATGCCCTGGGATGGAGCTAGAGAGAAGGTTCAGCAGCTAAGAGCTGGCTAACAGCACTGGCTGTTCTTGCTGAGGGCCCAGATTCAGTTCTGAGCACCCACATGGTAGCTCATAACCTTCTGTAACTCCAGTTCCGGGGAATCTGATGCCCTTATCTGGTCTCCATGGGCATTGCATGCACATGGTGTACTCATATATACACATGAAATAAAATTAAAAAAATAAATCTAAAATTTTTTTCCCATGAATGACCTGGGTTATCAGGGCTCCAGCTGAGCTTGGGGGTTGGGTCTGAGTTGGCCTTGGCTTTCACATTCTCAGGTTGCTGTCACAATATTTACTTGAAAGGGCCTCCTTCCCAGCTTCCATTTGCCAAGCTCTAGCAGCAGGCATCACGCCCTTCTTGCTTCAGTATCCACAGCTGCAGATCAAAGCTACCATTCCAACTATGATGGAAGCTGAGGTCAGTAATTATGTGCAGGCCCTTGGCTGCAGATAAGCATGCTAGAACATTCCTTTTATTCTCCTTCCGTTCAGGTCCTCAATGCCTGTCCATATCTTTTCTACTTCCCATATGGCAGCTAAAGGATTGTTGCTAAAAATCCCTTTCCTTGGGGAAACATAAACATCAGCTGCCTCTCCTCCTCAAGTCCCAACAACCAAGGTGCAATGCCACCAAAGTTCACCCAGGAACCAATGAATGTAGTAGGTTTCTTACAGAGCACTGGATGAGTGGATATGGGCAGAGGTGACCTTAAAATAATAAGTCTGCACCCAGAGGCAATGATGACTTCCTCAGGATTGCTTCGATGAAGACCTTTTCTTTCCTACTTATATATGCTCTAGGTTCTCCCGGCAAGACCACACGCATTAGGCCAGAGCTGCATACAAGCGGTTGGGAGGGGTGGCTAGATATGCAGGTGAGGGTTCCAGGATCCTTCCTGCCCCCTCCTTCTATGAGGAAAAGTAGGTAGTCCACAGGCCCTGCAGAATCCCTGAAGATGGAGGATAGTCCCGAACAATGGGAGTTACCTGGGAGGCCATTTAGAAGCCTTTCCTTAAAGACCAAATCCGGAGCTAGAGGAAGAGGGCTGCGGACGGTTCAGACAGGACCTTGCGGCAGGCTAGAGGGGGCTCAGACAGCAGCAAAGGGAGCAGTTGGTGTGCACCTGACTCAGCGGAAGCACTCACCCTTGCCACTTCCTGTGTACGGGTGCCCACACCCGTGCCCCCTTTCCTAGCAGCGGGCTGAGGAAGAAGGTACTGGGCCAGGGCATTTTCCACGCGTTCCACTGGGGCAGAGGACTCAAGGACACATGGCTCCCAAACCCTGGCTCTCCGCTGCGGAAGCTTGTGCTGCTCTACACCCCGGCTGGGAGTCAGGGGGCTAAGCCTGATGAACAGAGAGAAATGGAGTGGATCCCAGGGAGGCTTCCACGGGCAAACCCTCTGCAGCTCACACTGTCCTGGGAGAATCTCCGTGGAGTCATTTTCTCCACTGCCCTATTTGGAAAGGGCCTTTCCCGGGCACCTCTGAAGCCACTCCGTTTTAAAATTCTAGGGTCTGAAGTTTTGTCTGTTTTTTTTTTTTTTTAAAAGAAAATAATAAATTATAGAGAATGACCAATGTAATGTTAAATAATAAGTTGTTTCAGAGACTGTGAAAATTTGTTTTAAAAATGAATGAAAATAAATAGTTATGAAATTAAGGTCCTAGTTTTTTGTGTGAGCACACTCCTGTCAAGAAGACAAACGCTGGGGCCAGAGAGATGGCTCGGAGGCGAAGAGCACTGGCTGCTCTTCCTGAAGACTCAGGTTTGCGTCCCAGCTACAACTGTCTGTAACTCCAGTTCCGGGGATCTGATGCCCTTGTCTGGCTCCGTGCGCACCAGGCATGCATGTGGAACAGCCAACATACCAATGTACATAAGATAATAATTTAAAGATTAAAAAAAGTCAAAGGCTCTGGACGAAGTTTCCAGTTAGTACTGAACACATATAGACCTGTCACACATTGCCTGGAGTCAGATGCATGTTTTATTTTATTTTTTTCTAAATAAATTTTGTTTTTATTAAGAGATTTTCTATTCATTTTACATACCAACCACAGATTCCCCTGTCCTCCCTCCTCCTGTCTTCCCCCCAACCCACCTCCCCACCCCCACACCCCGTTCTCACCTCCTCCAAGGCAAGGTCTCCCATAGGGAGTCAGCAGAGCCTGGTACATTCAGGTGAGGCAGGTCCAAGCGACTCCTTCCTGCACCAAGGCTGCGTCAAGTGTCCCACTATAGGTATTGGTTCCAAAAAGCCGGCTTATGCACTAGGGACAGGTCCCCATCCCACTGTCTTGCTTATCCAGAGGGCCCAGTCCAGTACCATGGGGTCTTGTCAGCTATTGGTCCACAGTTCACGTGTTTCCGGTAGTTTGGCTAATTGTCTCTGTACTTTTTCCAGTCATGGTCTCAATATCCCTTGCTCACAGCATCCCTCCTCTCCCCCATCGACTGGACCTCCTGGAGCTCGGCCTGGCACCTGGCCTTGGATCTCTGCATCTGTCTCCATCAGTCACTGGATGAGGGCTCCATGATGACAGGGTAATCAGCCATCTGATCACCAGAGTATGCCAGCTCAGGCACCCTCTTGACCATTGCCAGTAGTCTATGGTGGAGTCATTCCTGTGGATTCCTGGGAACACCCCCACTCCCAGCACCCTGTTGCTCCCTATTCCCAAGGTGTCTTCATTTATCATGGTATCTCTTTCCTTGTTCTCCCACTCTGTTCCCATTCTGCTCAAACCTCCTGCTGCCTTAAGCTCTCATCCCCTGTCCCTTGCCCTCCATCACCCTCCCCTCACCCCCAGTTTGCTCATGTAGATCTCATCCATTTCTCCATCACTGGGCATCCATGCGTCCTTCCTAGGGTCCTCCTTACTAGCTAGCCTCCCTGGAGCTGTGAGTTGCAGTCTGGTTATCCTTTGCTGTGTATCTAGTATCCACTTATGAGTGAGTACATACCATGCTAAGACAGATGCATGTTTTAAATGACAACAGAACTTACATTGGTCCTGTCAACGTATTTCCCACCTTAGAAAAACAAAACTGTCGTGTTGTAACCAGCAGACCATTTTGAAATGTGCACTTCCAAAATTCTGTAACTCTCGAGTCCTTGCTCCTTCTGGAAAGGGGAGACCAGGAGACTGCCATGCCCCTACTTTAACGGTGCAGTCCTTGCCCTGTAGAATACCCTGTGGGCATCTGTGTCTTCTCAGAGTGTGAACTGAGAACCAAGGAGGTGTGTGCTGTGCTCATGTGGCAGCTTCCTGGTTTAAAGAGCTGACATAGAACCCCAGGCCCTTGAGGCCCAGTGACGGTGACTGCCCGAGACCGTCTCGGGCACAACCGGGAACAACACCACGGTGAAGAACAGATACAGTGAGGTGAGGTTGCTAGGACATCATTCAGAAAGGCAGGAGGAATGTAACCATGGGCAGAGGAGGTGGCAGCTGGGGTGCCACGGAATGAGCAGGAACCACATGTGATGGGACAGCCTCCAGGACTGTGTCTCAGACACAGCTGCCTTGAGAACCTAGTGGGTACCAGCACGGTGGAGACCCCTCCAGAGGTCACCAGCTTTCATGTATCAGAACTGGCTTCCTGTGCTGTTTCCAGACACCAGATCCCTTTAGTTGATTGAGAAGTTACTGCTAGCACAGCTACACATCTATTTCCACTCACAGAGGGGTGGGTTGCCTGTGTGTGTGTGTGTGTGTGTGTGTGTGTTTCTGCATGTGACCACCATCTCAGCTGCCAATCAAACCTTCATGAGAGCACACTTGCTGGAGTCATGATTTCTCCTGCCTCTCAAGAATCTTTAATTGAAAAATAAATGCTTTTTGAAAAGTCAAGTGGTTTACAAGTCCCTAATACAGTGACAGTTCTTCCTCTTCAACTTGACTTCCCAGAGGGAACAGTATCTTCTACACACACCTATACATAAACCTGTCTATTCATTACAGTACACATTTCAACAGTCACACACACCCACTTCTCTGCACTTCTGGAGATTGAGCCTAGGCCCTCATGGATGCTAGGCAAGCACTCTCCCATTGAGCTACATCCCAGCCCCTAACCTGTTTAGTCAGTACACATCATCTACTGCTCTTTCTGACGAGTCTTGGCATTACTTCATGTCTCTTTACTAAAATCCTTTTTATTCCATGACATATTTTTTTTTAATTTTTTAAATTTTGAGACAGGGTCCTCCCTATGCAGCTCCAGATGGCCTGGAACTCCATATGCCTCTGCCTCCCTCTGAGATTAAAGGCTTAGAGCACACGATGCAAAAATGAAAATCTTAGGCCAACTTTCTATTATTACCTCAAATTACAGGCACATGGGTTCCCACTCACATTTTTTTCATGTGTGGTACGTGTGCATGTACTGTGCACATGGAGACATGAGGTTGATGTCCATTATCTTCCTCGATAGCTCTCTAATTTATAGGCTGAGATAGAGCTGGCTCTGGGGACCCCGGCTCTGCCACAGGAAACTGGGATGCGAGGCAGATTGTTACAATCATCTAACATTTAAGTAGATGCTGGGACCCATGCCCGTCCTCACACTCACTGCAAGTGCTCCCCCAAGGCCATCTCCCCAGTCTGGCTCCCCACTGGTGATGCCTTTGTCTATCTGGGAATTCTGCGTTTTATGAAGTGGAGGGGTTGCAGGGGAAGCTTGTCTCTCACTGGGGTGAGAGGACACTGCCAATGTAGGATGAGTCAAAATGTCTCCCCTAGACTTGGTTACAGTGTACATATGGGAAGGCTAAATTCCATTGGTCTAACAGATCCAGCTATGCCTGCAAATATTTTTCTTCGGGAACCTCATCCTTTGCCTGCTTTAGGACTTTTTCCCTGACTAAACAAAGTAGACTTATTAAGTAATTCAGTTTTCTATTTTATTCCTCAGTAGTTTTAGCCAATCAGAAAATCCAACAAGGGACTCCAATTGGGCACTCCTGCAAGGCTGAGAGAGAGGAGAGAGAAAGCGGGGATGCTATGTTCTGCTTCTTCCAGGCGTACTCACTTTACTAGTTATTACTCGGTTTCTCAGTTTGTATGTCACATTTATTTTATTTATTTTTTAAAACAGAATCTCAGCTGGGCAGTGATGGCACACGCCTTTAATCCCAGCACTTGAGAGACAGAGGCAGGCAGATCTCTGTGAGTTCAAGGCCAGCCTGGTCTAGAGTGAGTTCCAGGATAGCTAAGACTACACAGAGAACCCGTCTCAAAAAACCAAACAGAATCTCATGCAGATCAGCTTGACTTTGAACTCCTGATCTTCCTGTCTCCAACTCTAGTCCTGGGATTATAGACATGTGCCACCACACTTGCCATGTCTCCTTTATATCTCAGACTTAACTTGTCAAATCTCAAGTCAAGTGCAGTCAGCTCTATGGAAGGTTTTATACAAAGACTCAGTCACCACTAACAGGGAAAACAGGGCTGTATCGTGGTAGGTTTTCTTGGTTTCTGTACAAAGTGAGGCAGGACACCAAGTCCAAACACCATTAGGGTGAAAAACACCTGAACTTGGCAACTGTCTAGAATCGCACTTCACAGGCTGAAGCAGAATTGTCACAAATTCAAGGCCAACCTTCGATACAGAGTAAGATTGTGTCTTAAAACACAGAGCAAAAACTCACACCGAAAAGCAAGATCTGATGACCTCTTTCTGTGATAAAGTCAGACTCCTAGGAACCAGGAAGCATGGAGAGCAGGGTGGGCATGTCTGGAGTGGAAAAGCCACGTAAGTGGGAAAACAAGTGCTAGACCGCACCCATCTCCTTCTGCGCTCCCTGCTGAGGAACTTCTTAACCTGCTCCTATTGGCCCAGGTGAGGAGAGGGGCGTCACTTCCCAGACCCCCAAGAACCCCAGTGCTGGGGAGGACTGCTGCCTGTGGGTGATCTTGGTGAACTTCAGGGGAAGGGCCGGCTGTGCTCAGTGACTGTGTCAATGATGTGCTTCTTAGGTGGTTTTTAAAGAGACAGGCGTGGCTGATTTGATACAGCTTACATTCACAAAGTACTTGGAGATTTTAAACACCAAGTTAACATCAAAGATAGGATTTTTATTTTAAAAAGCAAATTCAAGCCCTTAAGTTAGTAATGTTTTCAGTTTAGCCGTATAAAAAATGTATTATTTTACATCTCCCCATACTGTATACTACAACTGTACATAAACTTTCCCCTTCCCAAGCACTCGTCACTTATAAAGTGAGGGTGCCAGCTGCTAACTTTTACACAGTGCTCCTGTGAAGGACTGGAGTGCCAGTACTTATATGGAAGACATCTCTCCTTTGTGCTTGTAACTGATCTGCAGACATCCAAGTCAATGTTTTTGGAACTTGTTCTGGAGAAAATCACAACAGACAGGGGCTCAGTGCAGACATGAGCAGCTCCATTTTATAAACAAAATTACGGCCCTCCATCTTGTTCCACTGAACCTCCTTGAATGGTCCACGGAGATGACTCCACTTGCTGTCCTGTAAAACATCACTTTTCGGAAGGTCTTTGCACTGGTTCCGGGGAAACTGGACCATAATCTTGCTGCCACTCTCAGGTCCGTTACGAACTATTGAGGAAACCAAACATCAGTACACATACTGCAACTCAGGAAGTGATGGAAAAACAAACTTCAATCTGGG